TGTATATATATGTGTATATATGTATGTATATATATGTATATATATGTATGTATACATATGTATATATATGTGTATATATATACACATAGTTTATGCCCTACGGAGCTTTCTCATAATTCCTTGGTGCTGCAAATTAGACGATTAAACTGGTAAATTTGCTTTCTCTGGCAAATGATTTACACTTTAGTGATAAAAGCTGTTTATTAGGGTAAAAATAAGCAGTTTAGTGGTCTGTAATACAAGTGCGTGATTTTGAGACTGATGAGCCAGACTTCAATTGAATTACTTCGAGTAAAACAAATTTTAACGAAGTAGTTCTGAGTTATTGTGGCAATTATTAACTACTGAATATAATAAATTGAGAAACCCCTTTCTATTTGACTGTTATTCATTTGTAAATTGTAGTGGCCACCATCCGGAGCCATTGGACAATTAGAAATATATACAAAAAATTTGAAAAATGAGACGAATTTTAAATGCTTCCAAATTATAGTTCAAACTTCGAAGCGCGCCATACTATTGAAAGAATATTCGGTGTCCCAAAATCAACGTTTCCCTGTTTATTCATACCAGGGGTCTGAAAACGCAGATTATGTAATTTATAGCATAGGCGAAGCTTCATTGTGTAGGGGTCCACTACAATAATGCATTGGGTTGTACACAACGACGGTTCGCTTTATTGCCTGAGAACAAAAGTCGAAAATCTAGATATCAATGTAGACAGACAAAATGAAGTTACGCATTTCTAAAAATTGGGCAACTTTGTACTAGCCTTTGTGGGAATTCGCAAAAAGTATGGTTTTGTATGTATGAAATCAACACAACCATTATTGCAATTATCTGCGTTTATTTTTCATATCGTACTGTTTTAACTTTTATTGCGTTGTATGGAACTTTACACTGTGTATTATTTCCCAAAAAATGAAGACGGTTAATTTTCAATTTAAAATATATTTGTCAAATTGTTTTTTTCAAATGAATGACGTTAACAAGCATTCTTCAAATTACGGACGGAATTAAGACCAGACGACGTTATAGTATTTTTCAAATTATTTTTTTTGCTTAATCAATTTTAAAATCGTTATTTGTATCACACTAATTTTGCTATTGTAATTTTCGTTTTGCTTTCTTACGTTTTGCTACTCTACCACTAGCATATGTTAAGTGCTCCACACAATGCTCTCGTACTAACGCGCCGTTTTGGCACACTTAAAATTTGTGCGTGTGGTTTTTGACAATCAAAACACAGCATACGCACTGATGTGTTCATAAAAACAAACATTCATATTTCAATATTTTTCTTATTTAAATAAATTTCATCATCATTAAATCCTTTCCTTCGTAATCAAATTAGTAAATGGTACAATTGACTCGCCCGCATTACTTCGTGAGGTAGGCTTTAATGTCCCTAACCGCCTCTCCGGGCACTTTATCTTGACAAAACTTAGTTAATGCAAATATAATTATGAGTTGTTTGCAAGAACCTAAATGACGTCTGTCACTTATTCTCACTAACGGACTCTTTAAAGTCCATTAAAGCAAAATTGCTTAACACGCGCGATTTACCTATGTCGTACTTGAATTAACTTTTAACTTAAAAAAGTTATTATGAGTCGAAAGTTAATTGTTGTTAATGCCAGCTTGGCAGCCGATAAGCTTTATGCATGTTAGCGATGGCTTAGGCGTTCACTTGCAATTTGATCCTGTACCGGTTGTGGGTGTGGCTCTATGCTAGTTGTGTACATGCTTTTTTTTTTTTCTTATTTGTTTTATTGTACTTATTTAAGTTAACTTATATAAGTTTTAATATTAATTAATTTAAGACTTACTTTAATATTAATTAATTTAAGATTTACTTTAAGAGTCAATTGAACTCGACTGCCATATTGTTTTAGTTGAGTTTCTTGTATAAGTGGACTGAATAAATAAATAAAAATCGGATTTGGTTTAAATAGTTTTTCAAGATATCGCAAAGATGAAAGATTCCCCTGCTGACGTTATTTCCGGATAATCTTGTTGCTTTATGTAGCGACCAATCAGATATTTTCATAAAATAACGAAGACTACGTTGGCCTTTACCACTAATGCACCGTTCTCGGGATTCATTTAAATAGGGCTTAACATTGTCCTCCGATGAGACACTAATATACTGAACGCATTTTCGATTGTCCTTTTTTCCCGGCATGATCTACTATTGAAAGTTTCCTTGCCTTGTGCTAAGAGAATTCCGGGTAAGGCCTCATTAGGTTATCCCGTAGAGGAAACTCTGTGTCGCTCCCACAAAATAGTACGGAAGCTCGATATTAATTCTTGTGATGGCTTCAGTTTCAGGCAACTCTAGCCAATTTTGGACTAAGCGTTTCCCAAACTGCGGATGACACATAGTTTCACTTTGGGACTCGTACGTTCCAATATCAATTGAATTAAAAAGGTAGCTCGCGTCGGACAGTGCTGCCAAAACTTTTAAGTGCGCGCCTGAAAGAACAAATATATTATAAAATGCTTCCTATGTTTCAGCGTAGCAATAGATTACCTTTGTAGTTATAATACTGTGAACTGGATTTAGGTGGACGAACAATATTAATGTGTTTTCTGTCTACAGCAGTGTAGAAGACTGCAAATATTGTCGAAATCGTCCGCGATAGGCTCCTGCTCTGACTGTTTGGGAAAGATAAATAAAACGGAGCTGGAACACCCTATAAGCCCCGCACTGTAGACGCTTTCATCATGAGTGATAAGTATCTGACACACATACCCCGCGGAGCAAGCAACTGCAAACAAAAAAAAGGTAAATATTTTTTTTTGAATTGCCTTTATAACATACGAAAAAGTTAGAAGAGTGTTAAGAACAATCCCTACTTAGCAGATATATGTGGTGTCTATTAACATCTTCTCCACCAAATCTAGAAGAATGCCAAATATTTTACGATTTCTGCGAACATTCACTTTAAAATGCTCGACGTCAATATAATACATAAGGTCGAAGGCGGTCGCAAGCAATCCGTCGACATCTCGTTTTGTGTATTTACAACGACGACTACAGCTTCCACATCATTGGTATTATCATAATTCAAATAAATAAATCGTTGCTATCTATTTCCTTCGGTCGCTTAAATATTTCCTTATAAATCTATTTTTAAGGAGACTTAAATTACAAAGGACAATTTAATTATAAATACTTTTCCATGTTTTGCTTCAACAAAATTATATTTCAAAGAAATTTCTACCCTATTAATTTTTTACCTCTTCAAAAGCGTCAACGTAAACAAATGCTAACCATATGATTCCGTATAACAACGCAC